AAGCTGCCCAAATCCTCCCAAACGACTCTCATTGGGTTGAGAAGCATCAGGCCAAAGCCCTCCGCCATGTATGGCAGCAGCTGGCAAGTGCCTTTTCAAGCATCCAGGGCAATGCCGAGGAGAGAAGACCCAAAACAGGAGGCCAGGGCAGCCTGTTCCAGCCCGCCTCTCCGTACTCCCCATCCCCACCCCTCTGGCACCTTGTTGAGTGCCAGGTTGGGGTGTCTCTTATTTTTGTTAGAATTAAAGAAAGACGAGACTAGCTGTATCCATCTCAGATTCCACTTTAATCGCAACCCTCTTCCCTGTTGCCCCCCAGGAGAAAAAAAAGACCGCCCAAGCAGGAGAAAGGGTCTGAGGGACACCCCCGGCCCTTGGCTTCAGCAGCAGGTTTCTTTCCTGGTATTATGTGCCTCCCATCAGCCCTGACGGTGGGGATTTATGCTTTCTGCCTCGAGGGAAGGGGGTGGTCTCTGAGAATTGCTCACTCAGCAGCCCCCAGTCAATGGTTTGGTCCAAGGAGCTGCCTCCCCCTGCCGCTCACCCCACCCCCCACCCCCCACCCCACCAGATGAATGCTTGGCAAGCATTCCAAAGCAGCTAATGGGATTAATGAAACCGATTGGGTCACTGGTCCAGGAATGAAGCCGTGACATTTGGATGGGGCCTGATGGTCAGAACCACATCCATGAAAAAGAATGGGCCTTCTGCTTTTAGGAACTGTCCCTCTGGGCTTTTCGACGGAGCAAATCATAACGGATCGAGTTGCCCTGGAGAGCAGGGATCCTTCCAAGGGGGGTGGGGGTGCACAACGTTCTTCAGACCTCGAATCCCAGATGTCACTTAGCTCATCGTATCTGGGGGTCACTGCTGAGCCTCGCTGACAGAAGGTCCTCCTTCTAGCGGGTCCCCGGATTCCTAGTGATTTCAGCGGTCTGTGCTCACGGAGCCCTTCCCAAGGCAGATGCTTGGCATTCCTCCACCTGGGTCCCTGCTCATAGCGCCACCAGCTGGCATGCAGCAAGGGTCCGAGGGACCAATGGCTTGCCCAAGGCCACCCAGCAAATGGCGCTGTTTGTTTTGAGCCCAGTCCCAGACCCCAAGGCCCTTGCTCTTACCCTTGGGCTTGTATTGGGGCGTCTGGAACCACCTCCCTGAGCGCTCTCCTCACCTGAGCACTATAAGAACAACAAGGGCCTTGACTCCACTGGAGGGCAATTGAGTCGAATCTCAGGACACAGCTTTCTTATTTTTTCCTTGACGTTTTCTTTCTTTTGTTGTTGAGACTGTACACTGCACAACAAGCAAAAGCCCTAAAGGGTCAAACTCACTGCCATCAGGTCAATTCCAGCTCAAACATGTCTCCCTGGGAGAGGCTGGTGGTTTCGAACCTCGGGCCTTCTGACTACCAGTCCATTGCTAACCCACCTTGCCACCAGGGCACCAGATGCACACACAGCAAAGCATACAGCAATTCAACAGTTTCCGCATGTCCAGTTCCCTGATGTTGCCCACGCCCTTCAAGTGGTCTAACTGTACTCGCTCTCCTTCGGGCAGTTGTTCCTTCTCGTTAGCATAAATTAACTTTCCGAATCCTGCAAGTTGTTGTGAATGGTGGTAAATACACACACTCACCCCTAAACACTTGTCGGTATGTTTACATCGGGGACGTTAATCACCTTCAGCAATCAGTGCAACCATCACCGGTATCTGACCGGGTCCAGATGTTTCCATTTCCCTCCGTGCCCCCTAAGCAGGCCTCCTTCCTTCCCTCCCACTTTCTGCCCTGGTAATCTTGACCTCCACTAGAACAGTGCTCTCTTCTACCACAAATTACCTGGAAGTGGGCATCCGTAAGACTCGTCCTTTTGTGGCAGGCTTAGTTCACGCAGTTTTCAAGAATCGTCCATGAGGTGGCCTGCAAGGAACCTCACTTCTCTTGGTGCAGCGTCTTCTGCTGATGGACAGGTATGCTGTGAATCATGCAGTCCTTAAGCGCTAGGCTGCTCACCGAGAGGTGGGTGGTTCCCGCTCACCGCTCTCTGGGAGAAAGAGGGCAGTCTGTTTCTGGGAAGATTCCAGCCTGGGAACCTTGGGGGGCACTTCTGCTCTTCTATGGGGCCCTGATGAGTTGGGATGCACTTGGGCCTGGCCTTTGGTTTGTACACATTGAGGGATGAGCATCCATGTTCCTGCTCTCAACCACGAAGAGTCATTGCTGGTTGCTGGGTCGTCCGGCAACTCTTAGGTTGAATTTCCCGAGGGGGCTCCAACTTTCCACAGAGGCTGTCCCATTTCCCACAGGCAGGGGATTCAGGTTCCAGCGTCTCCACATCCCTGCCAACAACCGGGGCTGGGCTTTTCTCAAAGTTCCCAGTCGGTTGTAATGTACAGCCGGATTCAAAAACCATCGTGCAGAACAATACAGTCCTCCCTTCCACTGAGGGCCTGCGTGTCAGTCTTTCAGAATTGCTGCTT